TTGGGAAGATTTAGAATAAAAAGGAACAAAATTAATAAAGCACAAGCCTATATCAGTTATTCAGTGCTATTGTGTGTCCCGCCAACGTGCCCCCTCAAAAATGATGAGTGCATGACACCTCTGCTTCAGTTGCAGCTTTTTTTAATGTATTTATTTATATAAATATTTTTCTATTTATATATATTATATATAAAATATATTTATTTTAAAGATAGTTAACACAAGAACACTTTCAAGCAAATAAGTTGGAAAGAAAAAAAGTTAGTTTGAAATGATATAACATACATTCAAAACTCAGGCTAAATGTATTAAAACACTTTCTGTTCGTATAAAGTTAGTGTGATGAACTACACCTGTGGTTGTTCTACTAGGTCATCTGTGTGAACTTTATGCTTAACTGGCTTCATACTTTTACTACAAATTTCTGCAATGCCTGTTGCTTAACAATAATTCAAAAATAGTTCAGAAGAATTTTAGTAGTTTAGTTTTTTATATAAATTGCAGGTAGACATAAAATTTTTTTTTTAGGTGGCACTTGCTTTGATATTTTATTAAATGCAATAACATTCAGATATTTTTAACTGTCCAAATACCTTTTAGGGTCACTGAATTATCCTTCAATATAGACGGGCAGATCAGAGCACACACGTTGCCATTTATTTGATGGATAGTGATGCATATCTTTTAAAAGCAACTAAAAACAAAGTGCTTTGTGAAAGGAGAAGCTCTTAACTGCCTGTGCGTGCTCAAAGCTCCCAGACTGAATGAATTCAAAGGGTGACCCCTTGGCTTGTGATTATGTTTGTGTAAAATCTTAAGGATGCCGATCAAAGCAAGGCTCTTGTCCTCCTGCCCTTTTTTTTCCAAAAAAGGCCCAGATAACAGCTGGCATTCAAACAAAGTTTTCTACTACTTTTTTTTTTTCTGCCGGGATTCCCATTATGAGGCAGGCCTCCTTTCTCATCTTGAGGATGGCTCATTGAATAAAGAGAAAGAGAGGAGTGGATGGGAGGGGAGGAAGTGGAGGGAGGCCTCTGATTAATCTTCTTCCAGGGTGGGGGTGTTTGATCAGGGGACTTGGCCCGGGAGGGGTGAGATGGTTAGGAGAGTCTCTGATGCTCTGATGTTGACAGCAGGCGACTTTTGCTCACGGCATGTGATTGACGTGCCTGGCCACTGGGCCGGAGGTCTGTGACCGTGTGACCGGTGGGGCATAGCCAGCCCCTGTCTGTGGGTGGTGGTGTTAATAATGTGGCAACTGGGAAGATTAATTGTAGACAAGCAGCAGGATTACGAGCGGCTTTGTGGCTGGGACAGGGCTGTTTGGTGGGGAAGGCCTCTGATCTGTCAGGTCCAGCGGAAATTAGTCAGGGCGGACTGAAGCTGACACTAAAAATGCTGCTTTAGGATATTAAAGCCAAACGGCCAGAGGAGATTGAAATGGTAACAAGGAAACTGCTGACATACTCTGAAAGCCTGATGCAGCTGCACCCCACTGGATTTGTGTAATTAGGACGATAATTATTCATGTGATAACAAGGGGGGGGGGGTTATAAAACGGTTATTCCATATACGTAGTAAGGTTTCACAGAATAAAACAGAGCAAATAAAGTGTAATGATATAAATAAAAACAGTATTCTTCCACCAAACAATGTAGTTCCTCCGAAACAGTTGTGGTTCCAACAAAGTGGTTGCCGAGCATCACACAGAAGTAAACAAAGGTGTATGTTTGTAGTGTAATTTACAACAGCTTCGAACACGGCTCAACCAATCAGAATCAAAGGCTGAAACTATCCGTTTTATAATATGCATTGAACATTGGTGTCCATCCACTCATCTATATAATGACTGGATTGCTCATTGCGTTCTAAACTGCCACCGGAACTGTTCGAGTGGCCATCTTACTGTTCCCTACCGGCAGAGAGCCTCATTGACTGACAGTTAAAACCTTGACCTAAAATCACTCGATTTGAAGCTTATCAGTCACACAGGATTAGCACAAATTTCATGGCATTTTACTAGCCTTACAGTTTCCAGGAGTAAAATGTTATGTATGTTAAAATAATTATTATTTTAACCAATGTTTAAATCCTTAACTGCTTCAAATGCATGCTGTTAATAAAATCATTGTTGAAACATTTGCCTACTTCACGAATAAAAACAATAAAATCACATTATTCTATAAACAGTGAATGTACACGGCGAATAAAGGTATATGCGCATATAAAGCATAAATCTGTATTCATATTTTAGAATGAACACTTTGTCATTTCTAATACACATGTTAAAGATCTCGTCCATCCATTGTTCATGATGTTCATCTGATGTTCGCTTCTGCAATGTATATGAACGGAATTTTTTAATATGCAGGGGAAATTCCCGAAATTAAATTTACATGCATAGGATGTTTGCGTTATAAGAATATAGAGGGATACTTCAGTTATCCTGAAGTATCCCTCTATATATGTTCCTAAAAAGAACATTATTTTGTGTATTTGGTGTAATGAAATGTGTTTATGCGGTTTAAGGTTAAAAAAACACATTATTTTCCACATACTGTACATTATTGTTTCTCCCCTATGCCCCGCTTTTTAAAAAGCTCATCGGTCTGGAAAGCGAGGTGTGCTGTGATTGGACAGCTATCCAGTGCGTTGTGATTGGCCGAATACCTCAAGCGTGCGATGGAAATGTTACGCCCCTTACCATATTGTGATGCCCTGTCCGGCCGGAGTGACGAGACAAAAACATTAAAACCCATTATAAACAAGGTATTTGTTGCATCCAGTGGGGGCATAATTACTGATTATAATGATATATACTGTCTTTTTACGCGTTGCATCGCGCCGCGTAAACATAAAACCATGTCTACATTTGTGATC